GCATTTTTCTTTCACCTATGAAGGACAGCAGTGAATAGCTTGGAAAGGCACAAACCAGGTAATCAAGAAGTAACTCTTAAACAACAGTTTCAATGTCTTAGTATCAGCAGCACGTTTTACATGTAGACAGAGAAGCAAGTGAAAGCAGCTCATTAATCACATCKTTCATGCAAAAAGGTACAAATTTTATCCTTCACATTTATTCTGAATAAAGACTGAGTTTAACTTTGATATGGCAAATGCTTATGGTTTGGAAAGAGTAGAATTGATGAAGTTGACTGGTTTCTCCTAGAGTTCAAGTGTACACCAGACCTATTAGACAAAATCACCAGAATTGCTATGACTGATGGCACTATGCTCTCTCCGGGAAACACGTGTGTCTGTGTCACATCAGAATCTGGTATTATCAAAGCAAACTCTCTGAAAGAATCTGCAGACTGAAATTTTTAGCAAATCAGTTGAAGAGAACCCAACATGATGCACACCTAGYCCACCTAGTGAGAGTGGACGCCTCCAACACACAACTTTCCCCTCACTTCCCAGAGGCAAGAGGAGATAGCTGCTCTAGCAGGGAACTTTTATTAAGAAGTGAGATATTATTTTGAAGACCTGATCGTACCTCTGAAGAGGCAGCTCATAAGGGCACAGATCCTGGCCTGCTGTGGTACAGGAGTGGAGTAGGAGCGGGCTATAGAGATCCTTAGAKTCCTATTCTTTAAAGCTCTGTTGGGCTATCTGAATTGGTGCCAGAGTCAGGCACAGGAGAGAAAGCAGAACACCTCAGAACTTGGAATACAAATCACTGAAACTGGATTTTCAGCTAACTGAACAGGCACTATATTACAAATTTTCAATGCTCTTTCCTATCAATGCTCTACAAATTAATTGCGATGAAAAAAATTACTTCCCCTTTTAATTCCCTCATCCCCAATCCTCAGTATCTCATACCAAGTCTGAAGAACTGATTCTTTTGCGCTGACTGCAGCTAATTCTTTGCAAATCATGACTGCAAGGATGGATAGATGCAGCTTATTAAATCTCCTGCCTGTTAATTGTGGCTCAGCAGACAGAAGGCATCCTGCCACTTTCCACCCCCTGGCCATATTTTCCACAGTCCACTCCAGCAGTCTGAGTTCAACCAAGCTGTCATCGTTAGCAGGCTCCTGAATAGAAACAAGCTTTCCAAGCTCAAGAACACAGGATTTCCTGAACCATATCAGAACAGGCACTCATCAAGACAATATCAAAAGTATTTAAAACAAGAACAAAAGAAAAAAAAAACCAAACCCAAACACCCCAACATAGGAATCTATTATGTTTTTATTATTATTATTATTTAGGTATGCAATAGCTTTTCCAGACAGTTTCTTTCTGGCCCCAAATGCATGCATTTCCTCACAGTAGGATGGTTCATGACCTCTACAAACCTCCTCTATGAAAAATCACTGATGGTCCATGGAGAGAAATGGCACTTCAAGCCTGGTGATGGAGCTGGGAGACCTCTGAGCACAAGAGTGCTTTATGCTACATACTTTACTGAAGTAACAACTCCTTGAACATTTCCAGCATGTCTATGTGAAAACTGGACACAAGTTGGCTATCAAGTTCTATGACAAAACCAACCCTTTCAAATTAATCTAATCCTACTGTTTTCCAGGAAAACAAGGTCAGGGGTGGAGATGACAAATGCCTTGAGTACCTGCATTACTAGGACTGCACTTTAACCTCACCATACTTTCTTGCCAATAGACATCAGTACCTCTACAGAGGTTGCACACGATTGMGTTGGGAATTTTCTCTTCTCATTACAGGCTTTCCCAGTACAGGGTAGAACAAGACTCAGGGAGACAAAACAAAGAACATGGCTTTAGGCCCTGACAGGGATATCTAAATAATGTGACATTAAAGCCCGGACAACCTGATTCTGGGAAGCAAGGAAGGATAGAAGAAGTTTTTTCAAGTAAACTGGGATACAAACAAATTTAAATAGGTACGCAAAGAGAGGGACAGAGAGGTAAAACTACAATGAAATATGGGAAGCCCAGGAAGCCAGACAGAACCCAAGCCAACAGGGAAAGAAAGATCCTTCTAAGATGAAGCTRACAAGAGAAAACTTTAGGTTAGCAGAGTAAGCAAGCCAGAATTGACATCAATCCCAGAAGGGAAGACCACACACAGCCTGAAAAGCTTAAGACAAACCAGATAAAGAAGGGAGATGACTGGAAAGGCTCTTGAAAGTGAAGGTGATAGCAGAAAAAGACATAAGAAAATTAAGTATGTGCAGAAGCCCCAATCCCTTYGTGTGTTCCCATATGGAAATGGGATTCCAGATTTCAGCTCATTGTTTGTTACTTGTCAGGTTATATGTACGCAACAGATTCCTTATCTGCAGGCTTTCAGCAAGCTGTGCAGTTTTCTTCAGGAACTCTGATTCTAGTGTATTCATTATTCAGGTATTCTACTTACGTCTTTCTAATCACACTATGTATCGAATTATCCATGTAAAGCGTGGTGAGGAGAGAGAAGTTACACTACCCTCCCTTGGTCCCACTTTCCATGGCAACAGATTCTATTAGAGTATTTAAAGATTTCAATTACTAGTTTCAAATCTTCCTGCTATTATCTTTAACAGACAAGCCAAAAGAGTGAAGTATACATCAGTACTTTGGATTTCAGGAAAATCTTAATTTGACATATTTAACAGATCCTATGAATCATCCCTTTCTACATGACACTACACTTTAAGATTTAGCTTGCCTTACCTAAATGGAAAGATTTTTCTATTTTAACATGCCCATCAAGCCCTCTGGTTTGTACACTACCTAAGCCCTGTTTCAGGTGGACTTTCCAACTGGTTAAATTCCATGTTCAAACTATCAAAATTTGAAATCCTGAAATACTCAAGCAGCACTAGCTCAAACACACCAAAGTGTCTATTCCATTTTACCTAAGAGACTTGGCTTGCTTAGCAAACAGGGACGTGGCAAGCACTAGTGGAAAAAAGTTATTATTCTTTTCCGTTAGCCTAGGTACAGGACGAAGCATTACTTTGGTTTTAATTACCAAAACAAGAACTAATACATTTAAAGAAACAATCTCCATTAGCAGTCAGCATTCAATTACCAATCCTAGTTGGAGAAAGAGGGAATAAGCATTTACAGTGCCAAACCCAGCAGGGAGATTTAACAGACTATATCTGTAAAAAGTAGAAATTGAAATTACATTATGACTTCTGCCTGTCTATTACGAAATACAAAGGGATTTACCTTCCAACATCCCTCAGCGGTACAGTTTGATAGTCTGAGCATGCAAATGCAAACTCTCATTCTTATGAATAAAAGCTGGACTGCTATTACAYTCAAGTTGTAGCTGCCAGACTTCTGTTATTTAAAGGCACCGTTGTTGCTTCAACACTTGCATCAGCCATTCCTTCCCAACTGTGAAAAATTAAAAAGTCAACAGGCCCTAAACACTTCCAGTGGTGCCCCATAGTCTGAGGCTTTGGAAGAACACCCTCCCTACTCCACAAAGAAATAAATCCACAGAGAAAGAAAAAAAGAAAATTACACCTCTAAAAAAACAACTGCACCACTGCTCTTATACCAGACAGTTTACATTTAGAAGATTGTTACCTAGTGGCTAATTATAAAATGCTGCTCTTTTTAAAATGAAAAGTTAGCTGAAAGCGACTCAGAGAAGCAACTTGCTTTAGCTATGCCATTCCACATGCTAAGTCCATTTCTTCTGGGGCTGTAAAGTATAAAAAGACAACCCACAGCAGATTTTCATGGCGAGTTAAACACATGATGAACTGCCATGCCAATGGAATCCTGCTGATATACTACATAGTCACATTTTCACAAGTCAAAAAAGAAGTGGTAAGACTGAAGAACCCCCATATATGCTACTGCCTCCTACTACAGCAACAAGAGACCAAAGGTTCTGCCTCTGCTCTTCCAAGAGTTACAAAAGGAAAAAATCCACAAAAACCCCAGACCACGCACTTGTACACCTTTAGTGACCTACATCTGATGATCATGAGTATGTTTCTGCAGTTTCTCACAACCCCTTAGTTAAAGTCTGCAGCTCAAAACCAATTTTCTTAACACACAGGAAGTACAACAGATGACATCACATCACACTTCTTCAAGTCAAAGGTTCCCTTAACTTAAAGCATGGTCAGTAACCTTATAAATACATTCACCTTCGCAATACAACTTTAAACATTACTTTMAAGTAGTCTAATTAAGCAGGTCCACACCATTAATCAACTTCTGCATGAACACTTAGGAGAATAAACAGTAATTCAAGCATCATAGAAAGGGTCCAAGATCACTCCTTTGATTGCTGTTCAGAACAATCCAGAAATACACCACGCAAATTTAATTCCAGCTAGATATACTTGAGCCAACTCATTTCCAGTTCAGCCATAAGCAACAAAAAGAAAAAAAGCAAAACAAATATGGATGTATGCACAAGCATAAACATACAGGGCCTAACGCAAATCTAATCAAAGGAACATAGGAACTGTAAAATATGAGCATTAAGGTAATGCAGCATTATGTAAACTTAAAGAAAATAGCAACTCATGCATTCATATAATAAAAGACAAATATAATCAGTRACTACTCCTTTTCCTATGCCTTTACTATTAAGATCCACTGTGCTCGTTCATGATTCAGTCACATCAACACAYCTAAAGAGGGTATCCATTCTGCTTTGCAGCTGAAGATAAGCGAAGGTAGCTACCACAAGCTGTTTAGTCTTAAAATTTGCAAACATCATAGCACACAAAGCATGTTTTTTTCCTTCTTAAACTTAAGCATTCGGAATGCCAAGCTTACAACCTTCCTCTAAAACATACACCTGTTTTCTGACATGTAAAAGACCAGAGGTATCTGAAACAACACAAGTCATCTAAAACATATAAACGCAGCCCTAGTTTTTCATCAACTGCACAGAAAAAATAACTAACTGAATTACTGAAGACAGGTGCTTACCTTCAATCCTTTTTAAGGCCGACAGACAAGTATCCCGGCTTGGAAACTCAAACGGGTTATTACAGGTCCGAATGGTGTCACATTCACATTTCCCGTTGATTATGTTACAACCTGTTATAAGGTTTTCATTGCACGGTTCAAATCCAAGAAGCTGATCATCATCCCAGTTTTCATCTAAAACAAGCAAACAAACAAACTCACTCACTATTGGATTTCAGCTGCAGTGCATAAACTCAGCTGCATTGGAGTTGGGTGTGATTCACTTGAAGTTCAACACAGTGCTAAAGAGAAGGTAACAGATTAAAAAAATAACGGATTAATTCAAACAGTGGGATTTGCCAAATACCATGTCTCGCAGCTGTTCGACTGCCCATTTTGCTAAAGCAACTGGCATTGTTTACTTCCATCTGTATGAAAAGCTATGTAATCTGAGGAAAATGCATAACTGTAGTACAAATGAGTTCTATTCTAACAGAAATAACTTTTGCAGATAGTTGAAGTTATATTTATAATGGAAGTGAGAACATTGTACAGAATCTGCAGCTGTTACAGAAGTCAAAATTGAGTCAGAAAGAGAACATTTAAAAAGACGACTAAAAAATGCACATAGAATATAGAATTCATCTAGAATTCACTCTACAGAGATAACTTTTTATTACAGAAATGCTGCAAGATGCCAGGCCCCTGATTCCATTATATGACCAAATGTGAGTTTTCCAGCAGTCCTGAATTATCGTACCTATTCTTGGAAAATTGATCAAGCACATTGCACTCCTTGYTGTCAAGGGGCTAGGGACGGTGGGGCCAGAATGAGTCTCTCTGCTTAAGTAACTGTTCCTTTTGGATCAATCCTGTCAAATGTGCTTAACTGATGTTCCCACTGTACAAATGTCCATCTTCCTTTTAGGAAGCCAGATGTAATAAGATTTATTTTTTCTTCTCCAGTAAGAGGTACAAATCCAGTCAGTACAGAATTCCAGAAGATTACCAGTCCTACAATATCTCAGTTTCCTTACGTCAAGCGTACATACAGCAACATCCCACCAACTCAGAAGTTTAATCAAGACAGAATCATAGAATGGCCTGGATTTGAACAGACCTTCAAGACCATCCAGTTCCAACCCCCCTGCTATGGGCAAGGACACTTCCACTAGACCAGGCTGCTCTAAGCCCCATCCAGCCTGGCCCATGAAAACTTTCAGGGCATGCACAACTTCTCTGGGCAGCCTGCTCCAGTGCTTCACAGCCCTCACAGTAAACAATTTCTTCCTGACATCAAATCTAAGCCTATTTTCTTTCAGTTTTAAATCATTCCCCCTTGTCCTATCACATGCTCTTTCAGAAAAATTGAAGAAACTAAACTAGCCATTTGGTATTCTTTGCTACAGAACACCATATGTTTTATAGACAGAGAAGCCTGGAAAATTCAGTGCTACAAAATAGTGGCACAGAGTCCACCGTCTTGTAGTAATGACAAAAGGAACAAATAGGTATTTTTAATCCTCATAGCCTTACACTCAACAGCAGCACTCAACATTGCACATTCCAAGCAGTTCATCCCAATTTTATTTACTATCAACACAATTTTCCAATACAGAGCCTGCCAAGAAACATTCCAAAAAAGTTAAAATATCTTCCAGTTATGAAGGGTAGGTTTCTTGTCACTGGGGTTACCGAAGCTGTTCTCTAGTTTAAAAAGCCACAGCCAAATACAAAGCTGTCCTTCAGCAGTCTGATGCTCAATAGAAATGTAAAAACTAAGAGCAAATAACAGTATATATACACATGTGCTGAGGTTGGCAAGTAAGTTCTTTCCACTCATAGAAATGTGCAGAATATCTGCTGACCTGAAGTTTTTCCTGTTTTGGGGAAAATAAAAAAAAAMCCCACAATCTAGGAAGAGCTGTTACCAATTCAGTATTGTATACGAAGCGTCACAGCAGATTCTCACAGGTATATTTCTCCCTTCTATTATGAGTTGGCCAAGTATCCTGCTGACAAAAAGCATTGATAAACAACAAAGTCCATTTCAGATGTGAAGATGGGAAATTCCATGAGAACCTCACGGCTCTTCTCCATAAAAACAGCAAATGAAGAGTAGTCACTAACCCCAGGAAGTAATTTCTTTTCCTTGGCTAATTTATCATCCAATTCAGCAACTGTATCATGAAAGTCAAAGGAAGTGCAGAAGTTCCTGAAGAGAAACTATTAAAATTCTTTCAAAAGAAGATGCCTCTCCAGTAATGCTTGGGACACTCTCATTGTGATGAGGCCATGCATACAGAGGAAAAAAAAAAAAAAAAACCCTGAGAATTTGGAGAACAATGATACATCCTGTTTTTGAGAAGCCGGAATACAGCCAGGACAATTTGTATTTTAGAAGTCACAGCAGTAATCCATGTAACAACAAGAACAAAAGCTACACCTACGGTCCAAGACTCGTTGTTTCAAACTCTACCAGCAGGGACCACAGCTTCATCCAGATCAGTCTAGCAGCCTTAAAGCAGTGTTTGTGCTGGTCCCTGTATCTGACACGAGCTCTCCCCCCATACCCCTGGGTGCAGGACAGGAGCCCGGAGGCAGCACATTCATTCCTGTGCCTGCCAGGAGAGTGCAGTGCAGACTGGAAGGACACACAGATGATGATGCTCTGAGGCTTTAGGTCTAGCAAACCACCTTGGAGCATTTGTGCTGCTTTGCCTGTGGTATTTCAGCACTAGATCTTCTCAAGGAAGGTACACCAGCAGGATCCTGTCACACAAGAGCTGCCCACCCCACCTAAGGTGGGACCCAGCAGGCACAGAAAGCACAGTCGTCCCTTACCCGTGGCAGAACACCTCGATGCAGGTGCACTGCACATGGTGGCACTGCCCATCCTCATTTCCAGGACAGGTTAGTGTTGGTATCACACTTGCCAGCTCTCCTAAGTTTCCAGAAAAGGAGATATGCAGGAAGTACATGGCCCAATAGTAGGTGCACCTAAAGTCCTCACTGCTACCCACCTCAAAAATTAGCTCAGTAGCCACTAAGACTATAGAGGAGAAAGCCCTCAGTAACACTTGTGCAGACCGTACTTCTAACATGTTGAATCTTCAAACAAGGCATTTTTCATTACTTGGTGTGAATGCAAAAAAGTTACATTGAGACAGGAAGAAGGCAAACCGAGTTTTTGCCAGCACATCTTCTACCCGCCTGCTTTTCAAAAAAGTTTATTTCAAAACAAGATTTCCATCAATGAGGGAGCAAACATGTAGCAAGAGCTTATTTTAGTTTAGTAAATCAGTGCAAAGTCTACCATGATTTTTCATGCAGACTTAAAACTGATTCCTTTTCGTAGCTGATTTAGTCTTTTAGTAACAGAATTTCAAAGTCTTGTTAAATGAGTGTTTACCACTTAGAATAAAATCCTCCAAAGCCACATCAACATAGGCAGAACAAAACTCTTTGGAATGAAAGATACAAGCACATGAAAGCACTCACATGAGCTAAAGGGATGAAGCCAGCATCTCACTTCAGTTCAAAACTTTGGGTACTTATTGCAGAGGCACCTAGTGCTCTCTTTGACACAGACAAACGGTTGTCCAATACAGCATGCTTGGTCCTCCAGAAGTCAGCAATATTTCAACTAGCAATGGAATGATATCTTACACAAAGCATATAATGTAGCCTCTATTACTCACAAAAATCACCATGTCCAGGGGACTATGCCAAAAACAAACTTTTACATAGCAGTGATTTGGGACTTGGGACAATACATGAACTATTCCAAGCTGTATACATTTGCCTGCATGCTCTTGACCTTCTCTGTGGCTTCCTTTTCAGGAGACTGCTCTTTCATGCCTATCTCTGAGAATTCTGAACTGAAATGTGAAGAAAGAAACTGAGATGTAATGATTTGTGAAAGCTTTTTATTTCTCTGCAAGCAGGTCCAACAAACCGCAAATTTAAGAATCTGAGCCTCTCAAACCTTGGTATGAGATTTGTACATCCTGTCAACTAGATGACTTCTAGGACACCTAAAAATACAAAAATCAAGTATTTATTTACCATTCTGGAGTTTTTAGAAGCAATACAGCTGAAAAAAAACTCAAGTAAACTATTAGTTTTCATTCCAAACTGATCTTTGTTTAGCTGTGATTTTCACCAACTCATTGCACTGCTGTGACCAGGTAAGGGCAAAAAAATCAAAGGGCTTTTATGCACTTTTTAGCCAACCTGAGTTGTCACTGGATTCTTGTTATACAGTCACTCAAGTACCTTTTGCACACAAGCCTCAAAGCAGTTCAAATGCTCCCAGCAGGCTCATAACTACAGCTTCGAAGTCACTTCTCTTTCAAATAATTTCTATCTACATGCAGTTCCCCACTCTTTCCAACTCATTCAGGCAAGTTCCAGATAATAAAGCCTCAGATAATAAAGTAGTTCTGCATTTACTCAGATCAAAGTTAAGTCTTGGACATAATAGCTTTGTTCTTCTAACTGTGCTTTCAAACCAAAAGGACACCACAGGAAGGAAGACCTAACATTAATTCCAATTTTTTTTCCTATTTTCTTCTATCATTCATATAATCACTTGCTTTCTGCAAAGTAAATGTTTGAGCTTGCTAAAAATTCACTTACTGCTCTGGGTTGCTGAACTCCCAAGTCCTGTCATAGCACGCATCTAAAGTAGGGAAGAGGATTAAGGCATTAACAAGTTGTACAAGAGGTCCTTAAACAGGTCTAGTCTGGGAAACAGTCTGAGAAATAGGTCTCTGGTAAGCAGCATTCCATCACTTCTTCCATACTAAATCCTGCATACCAGCACTCATAACACAGCACCATGCAAGGCAGGATGGCTCACGATTGAAGCATTCATCTTCTTTGCCTGAAGAGCTGCCTGTGTTTTTAGAAAAGCACGCAACTGGGAAGCTAACTTTGAGGCTTGCTTTTAAGGCACACAGTACCTCACTATGGTTACATTTATTGTCCCCATTGGCAAAGGATCATCTCAAAACAGGTGCAAGCTAAATGTACAAGGAAAGACATTTTTAGAGACTCATTCTCCATTGCTTAAATTTTTGCTTTCCTTTCCTTCAACTTCTCAACTCCTCCTACCTGCCACAGAAACTTCTCTTTTTTTGGTCCAACCCTTCTCTTTCTTTCTGGATATTTAAYGAACATCAGCTATTGTT